CGTTAATTAAGTATTTCCCTAGAGGAATCCATTCGAATTTACTTACTCTCCTTACTTTTTCTTACTTTCTAAAAATTTTTCTAATTATTCTCTCTCTCTCTCTCTTCTCAAGATAAATTTCCCAAGAATGGAAAAAAAAAGTTTTTTTTGCGAATCGCCTCGTTCCAAAAACTTTTCCCTCCCCTTTCTTCCGGCGAAATCGAATAGTTTTTTAATCGGGACGATTCAAGACTCCAAGGTATAGGAAGTAGTTGCCGGTCGGAGCGGAAAACTGGTGGAAAGGAAATCAGGGCACGGGTCGTCACATCTCGGGTAAAATTTCGTATTCCGGTCCGCACAGTTTCTCCGTTCCTCCTCGTCGCTCTGGACGGGAATATTCACGAGCAGAACCGAGATACGCGATCGTTGAACGAACTTGACTAATTGCCGCTTCGAGAAACTGTTATTCAACAGGGAGAGAAGGAGGGGAAGGAGTGAGTGTTGCACTCGGGACAAACGAAACCACTTCTTCTTCTTTCACTCTACCCTCTCCCTCGGTAATTGGAGGATCCCAATGCATTGATAACCGGTTTAAAAACATCGAAGGGACGGAACAATTGGGAAAGGGAACGAGAGAGATAAAAAGTTTAGAGGAGGAGGAGAGGGAGGATCGAAAGAAGGGGAAAGTTGGTTATTTCGAAAACGAACGTTCAGATAAAGGATACATATATACATACATACATACATTTTTATCATTGAAATTAATTTCAGATAAGGAATTATCTTAACTGCAAACGATACAAAGATATAGGAAATTATAACACGTTGTACGTTTCTTTTTATAGTACTCATTGTTTCCATTCCCATTGCTCGAAATATTTCGTGTACAACTTTTAATTACATCGCGTGTGTAATTTTCATTGGCCTGCAATTTTATTGCAAAAAAAGAAAAAGATATATTTCTTATCTTTACAACAACTGTTTTACTTTTTTTTTTTTAATAATTTCAATTAATTTTATTTTATTAGATTGAAATTTTAATAATTTAATTTTTAATTTTTTAGTAATTTTTTTTAATAATCACGCCGCGATCATAGATTTCGTTCATTTGCAATAAAGATAATTCGCCTCGCCTCGAAACGGGCCTATCAATTACGTCGATGCGATTTTCGTTCATTTTTACAATCAGATGATCCATAAACCGATCTAGGTTAGAGGAAGGATTATTTCTCCAAGTTTAAACGCGCGATTGTGACTAGTCGTTTTTATTTTCATTTAACCTTGTAGTGTAAAAGATTCGACGAAGGGGT